AGCTGTCACTATTTCAGCTGTCAGTCGCAAATAATCTCAAACTTAAACTGTCGCAATTTGAGCTTTCAGTCGCAAATAATCTCAAACTGAAACTGTCACAATTTCAGCTGTTTGTTTCCCGTCCTGCACCAATGGAGGCAAGTGTGTGGAGGCGGAGCCTTGGGCTACCGCACTGCCCAAGTGCGCATGTCCAACACCGTACAGTGGACGAGCCTGCGAGGAGAACCTTGATAGTAATTTTCTTTTTCTCCTCTACCTCGATGTCCCCAAGTTGGGGGTGGGGGTGTGTTTGAGGTCTCAAACTCAAATGGCCCGAAGTACAATCTTTCAAGTCCTGAAAGAACTCACACAAGTCATTTTTATAATTTCCTCTCATTTCAACACACGCGACACCAATCACATTAGGACGCGTGAAAAGAAATGACTTGAGTTGAATTATTACCGTGGGTTTGAGACCTCCTACTTGTCATCAAAATTATTTAATAATCTTTTACTATATTTATTTATCTCGTAACAGTATTACTAATAATAGGAAACATTTAAATTACCACGCTCAAGTTGTTAGAGAATGTAACAATGGTCTTTTCTGGCACGGTGCTAAAGTAAGTCATCTTTATTTTCTGGTACGGTGCTAAAATACGTCATCTTTCTTGTCTGAAACAATGCTAAAATGTGTCTGAAACAATGCTAAATAGTGTCTGAAACAATGCTAAAATATGTCTGAAACAATGCTAAAATATGTCTGAAACAATGCTAAAATGTGCCTTTCACATCTGAAACAGTGCTTAAAGCTGGTTTGATGTATTGCTACAGTGGGAGCAACTGTCAAGGGACTCTGCTCGACCCAAATCCAAAGGAGATCTCTAAATGCTGCGTTGAAGGTTTCTCTGGCACTTGGGGAAGTCAGAATGCATCGTACGGATGTACACCTTGTTACCCAAGTGAGTTGTCAACGTCAAAGACGCTTGACACATTTTGTTTCCTATTATTTAATTGCATCGGTATATATATATGTTTGTTGAATGACATTTAAATATGAGTGTCTATGTTTGTTGTCAATGAATATATATGTTGGTTGTCTATGAGTGTTTGTGTTGGTTGTCTTGCCACGCTCTAAGTGATTGACATCGCGTTGCTGTCTCCGCTTTTTATACAAAGAGGAGGATAGACCACTCACTGAAAGGCTCCACACCCTGTCCCTACTTGTATGGTAGCAAGGGACGATTCCAAAGATTTCAAGGATGCATCTCTTGTTCATCTCTACAAGGTAGAGGGAACCATAGTTGCAAATCATTTCTCTCGATTGCATGCTAGATACTCGCGAGAATCTCGCTAAACCACCTTAACAACCATATTGAGAAGGGTCTTCTGCCAGAAAGTCAATGCAATTTTAGCAAAGAACACGGAAATATTGATATGGTGTTTACGACCAGACGATTAGTGGGAAAATGCAAGGAACAGAATGTTGACCTCTTCTCCACCTATGTAGACCTTCGTAATGGCCAAGGCTTCCGACACTGTTAGTAGAGGGGCTTTGGAAGATCAAGACCAAATATGGATGCCCCAGAAAATTCATTTCAATGGTGAGGCAATTCTATGATGGTTTGAAAGGCTAGAGTTCGGGAAAATGAGGACACATCTAAACAATTCCCTGTTGCTAATGGCGTCAACAAAGTGTTGTCCTGGCTCCAAGACATTGCAGCCTCATGTTTTCCTACATGATGACTGATGCCTTTAGAGAGGGAGACGTTGGAATTGGTGTCAGATACCGAACTGTTGGCATGCTATTCAACATCAATCAGGGACTGCGTGTAAGCCGACGATTTATGCCCTAAATGCTGGATCAGAAACGGATATGAAACGCAGTGTTACTAATTTCTCCGTTGCCTGAACAAACTTTGGTCTCAGCATTAACACAAAAAAAGGCTGAGGTCCTATACCAGCCGCAGCGCCCCGAAAACCTTATGTTGAGCCCAACGTTCAAGTATATGGCGAAAATCTTAAAGTGGTAAATAGCTTCTCTTATTTCAAATGTTCTTAGAATGTATGAAACGTGAACGCTCTATCAACGCCAGGCAATAAATCTAAACCACCTTCATACGAAGAGCCTCAGAAAAGTCCTCAACATTATCAAGAATGGCAGGATAGGGTCTTAGAAAGTGACGTACTCGCATAGGCAGGTCTCTTCTTCTTCTTCTTCTCTTCTTCTTCTCTATTTTTGCTGGTCTCCCCAGCATCTCTACTATTTTAACGCCCTCCCAGCTTTCGTGGGGCGGGACATTTAGCTAGAAGTCAGAAGGCAGTTTGCCCAAAAGAATATTCTAAGATGAGCTCGAGAATGGAAGGCGGTGTCCTGCTTGGCGGAATAATTGATAAAAAAAAATAATAAAAAAAATCAACCTAAAACCCTCACTGAAGCTTTCAATATAGACCCGGGCACACGTGAAGAATCGGCAAAATTATCGAGCATCGTGGCGTACATATTCACAGAAGGCTCCATACAACATGAAGCCAACAGAACAGCGGCTGCAGACGACAAAAGACATGCCAGAAACACCCGGGTTAACTCTGCACCTGGAGATGTCCCATCAATCCCCTGCCCTTACGGCACGAGAACATTTCATGACAGAATAGGTGCCATCGGCCATCTGCGCACCCAAAGCCAAGTTTATAGCTATTAAACAAATGCGATGATGAAGGTGGTCATATCCGATTTTGACTGACGAACTAAATATATGTGTGTGTGTCTGTGTGTATGTCTGTGTGTGTGTGTGTGTGTTTTGGCTGACTACAGATGTGTACGCGTGTGTTGTTACCCGATATTTTAATCATAGTTTTAAAAAAGTCACCACCTTTATGTGGCCAAAATATGCTGTTTTGAAAGTCATTTCCATTCATGCTGTGCACCGTTGATTGCCCTCAGCAAAAGTCATCAGGGTCAATAATACGATGGACAGTGCCACCTGCATGACGTCAGGAGATGACCAGTACCGTACTTTTGACGGAGTGCTCTTTAGATACTTGACACTTTGCGGGGTGGGCCTGGTTGTCACGCCCTCCTTGGACATTCATTCCGTCACTGAGTGTGATCCTCTGGACAAGTGTGCATGTTACAAGGTAAGACAAGTGTGCATGTTACAAGGTAAGACAGGTGTGCATGTTACAACGTAACACAAGTGTGCATATTACAAGGTAAGAGAGGTCATCTCTAGCATGTCAAGCATTTATACTGATGTTTGTTTAATGCTTGCAAATTGTCTTCCATTCCATTCAAAATTAAAAGATTGCCATTTTTTTTTCCATTCTTGAAGATTGTCACAATCATTGTTCGGAGTCCAAAGGAAGTGACCTACACCTGGGCAGGAACCAATCTGACCAAGACAGATGGAACGACGACGGAGATATTTGATGCCTCTCTGTTGCCGGACAATACGCCAACGGTCATTGACGGCATGGGTAGGGGACTTTTACTTTGATTTGGTCATCAATGGGTTCAGATTATCAAAATGTATGTAACGGGGAAGAGAAATATCATAAATTATAGTATAAAGCACATCAATTTAATGTGATAGCAAATGAAAATGTTAAATATTTAAATGGAAGTGATAGAGCTGCACATATCTTTTCATAAATATGTTGATGAAATGATTGAATTCGAACTAATATAATTATATTTGTAACATACACAAAATGATCATTATCTCTAAGGTCGAAAGTTTTTTCTAGACTTACTCGGCATAATGAGGCATCAAGCCTGAATTTCTAAACATCCCTTTCATTTCTAAACATTGCACGCATTATCAAACATTACCTACATTTCTTAGCAACACCTTTATGTTTGGACATCGCATTCACTTTAAAACATTTCCTTGATCTGTAAACATCACCCTCATTTCTTAACATCACTTTCATTGATAAACACCACCTTCACTTTAGAGCACCATTTTCGTTTATTAAGATCACTTCGTTTTTTTAAAACATCACCTACATATGTTAATATCAACCGTGCTTCTTTTAAGGCGGCGTTGTCATTAAGTACAACGCAGACCAAAACTCTACGTACGTTGCACTGACTCAGTTCGGCGTGGAGATTCGTACCGACCCCGACGGCACAATGATGATCACTGTGAAAAAGAACTCGATCCTCACTGAGCACATGGCAGGCGTCTGCGGTGACATGGACGGTTACGCTGACGGTAAGATCAAATACCAAGGCACTGAGTAAATCGCTCATTATCGGCGAAATGTTAAAATATGTTAAAAAAAAAATATATATATATTTAGTCTATTCGTTTTTTTTGGGTTTTTTTTTATATCTGGGTTTCTTCCGCTTCTGAATTAAACAATTTCCTCTCAGATGAACTGGCCCTTCAAACACAGTCTGGAGCAGAGAGAATCTTTGAAAAGTTCAAGAACCCAAATCTGCCAGTAAGTAGAATTTAAGTTTTAAATATATATATAAAGTTAATATATTTATATATATATATATA